AACCCCCCCCCCCCCCCCCCCCGGTGTTTGCCATCGGGGTTGGGTTTTCGTCGCTTGGCAACGACGTTGTAAAACAAGCCGCCCCCCCCCGGTGGTTGCCATCGGGGTTCTGGGTTTTCGTCGCTTGGCAACGACGTTGTAAAACAAGCCAATTCACTTCGTGAACTCGGCAACCAGGTTACCGTTTTTTTTTTTTTACCTCGTTTTTTTTTTTGGCGGTAACCATAATGGTGGTCGAGTAGATCATGTTGTGGGGGGTGGAGAAACCTCATTCGGGGAAAGGGGGGATGATGGCACCACGTTGTGTTAAAATGGTCAAGGTTCCTCGAGGCAGTTACACAGTGTTTATTACTGTTTTGGGAAGGGAAAGCACCAGAAAATAAATTAAGTCATAGGTAGCTGTCATCCATAGGCAAGGAAGTAAGCAAAAGATGCCGAACACCTTTAGCAGGATGCAGTTCACCTTTCATGGGACTCGCCAAATACCTCAGGGGGTTTCGCGTTTGGTGATGTGAGAGCCTGGTCCGGTGAGAACCCGGCGTGTTCCGTCCGGGTTTTGTAGGGATGGGAGGTCAATGGTCAAAGGATTAGGGCATGCAGGATTAGGGGTACACCCCCCCCCCCCCCAATTGTACAACCTTGTCATGTAATTCAGCGTAGCCCCCAGATATGTGGTAACACGGAAGGATGCCTCTCCCCGAGGCACCCCGCAACCGCCGTCATACCCTCCTGTTGAACGTAATAAAGACTCCAAACTTTGGTACCATTATTTGTTCTCCCCGGTTTCTCGATACGTGTAGACTTGAAATTTAAACATTTTTTCTTCAAAATGTAGAAAAAGATGGGATCGGCTTGATGAGCCTTGCTTTTTTTTTTTACGGAAAACATGGAAAAACTCAGGTGGTCGAGGATCTGCAGGAGAGGCTGGGCGGCGGCTGGATAGTGGATATGATGATGCACGATTCCGACAGACATCCCTGCGAGTTAGTGGAAACCCTGGCCGGTGTGGACGTGCTCCTCACCCCCCACGGCTTTCAGGTAAGCGAACGCCAGAACGAGCACGAAAAGTCCAACCGTAAAACCCTACAACAGCTACGGCAGGGGTGGTCCCGAGAACGAGCTGTCCCGAGTTCCGCGGGTCACGATGCACCGCGGTTCTTGTCACGGGATTTGACTTCCATGCTAAAGCTATGGTATGAGTATGTTCCCAAACACTCAGTGAGTGCGGTGTCCCATCCCAATATACCGTGGTTGTATTTTGCCTGTCACTACACCGCGGTACGGTATATCGAGACCACGACTGTAGCGGTCCCGAGTAGCGCGCGTCCCGGTATACCGCGGTAAGAAATCTTGTCACGGGATTTGGCTATTACCATACTAAAGCGAATTTTCCCAAACACTCAGTAAGGGCGGTGTCCCAATATACCGTGGTGATTTTTGCCTGTCACTACACCGCGCTACGGTTTATCGGCACCATATGAGTCCCGGTATAAGCAGATGAAATCGCGTGACACGGGTGTAATATTCAAGGTTGTTCCATCCTCGGAGTAATGCTGACATGGCCCTCATTCACCCTGTCGTATCGCGTGCCCGGAACCCCCCCCCCCCCAGTCGATGCTGGGGCTGTTCATGCGACCGGGCTCCCTGCTGTTCGAGGTATTCCCGCAGAAGTACTTCAAGGCGGGGTACGCTCCCATGGCGGAAGGGCTGGACGTCAGGCACGCCTACTCGATGAGCCGCGCGCTCCGTCCCATGATGGGGCACTCGCACCCCAGCACCGAGACGTGCATGAAGTGGTACCTATGCCGGTGGTACGCTCGCTCTTCCGACGTCGAGCTCGACGAGGAGAGCTTAGAGCGCCTTGTTGACCTCGCACCGCCGCCGCCGCCGCCGCCGCCGCCGCCGCCGCCGCTTTCAGAAGC